ACAGCCTTAGTTGGGAGAGTTTCTCTTTAAGAAAATGTAACTATCGGTATCGGCAGATATCGTTCTGAATAATCGGCTATCAGTATCGACGGAGAAATTTAGTATTGGTGCATCTCTAGTTTCTACAGGTATGTTCTTTTTAGCGTGACGTGTTGCGCTGCTTGCACCTAATGTAGACAGGGTGGACGAATGTTCAGTGCAAAAATTTGGTGCAATAAACATTACAAATTTAAACAAATTACTTTTAATGAATGGCTGTTAATGCATCTGTTCATACCAACATGAACATTCACATGCCGTAAATGCTAAAAAAAATTTATGGAAAAGTCTTCTATTCTGTCTTCGAATGCACTTCATAAAAAAACTATTTCGACGTTGTAAATAAAACAAGTATTAATGGAGTATGTTTTAGTACTTTCTACTTCAAAATGTCACATTTAATTATTTAAGTCAGTGTTGCTTGCATTTTTTTTTTGTTATTTGTGAAATTTACTAGCAATTTGTACACCAAATCCTATACCATTTTTTTTTCAGTGCAATAAAATGTATGCTTTTGGTCACATGCCTAGAGATGCTGCTGTTACATAAAACTACCGGTACATTTATTGGCACTCACGAACAGAGTATTTTGCTAAGCAACAGTGAATATCAGAGGAAGAATTCAGAACCGGCCCTCTTGTCTCTGTACTCTTGTATTGGGTGATATTTGATAAACACCATATTGAATACACAACCTGAACGCCTATTTGGAAACATGTAAATATTGTTTGACTTTCTTTATTCTCTGTGTCAGAAAAGGAAAGTTACACAGCGCTTTGTGTACCAGGGTAACCACATTATTTCTGCTTTTCTATAAGTGTTACCTACTGTCAAAGAGTGAATTTGCATTTTCATTCAGTCTGTCTGCAGTTTTGACACATTGGTCTGAACAGTCTGAAATTGGTCAAGCATTTAGAGTCTACTATCCACATAAAAATTAAATATAAGCTTAAACTCAAAAGCTATCAAGAGCAGAAGAAAATATTACCAGACATCACAAAAACTCAACAACTTTAAACTTAGAAGAGATGTCAATTAAACTTAGAAGAAATGTCATTATGTGGCAAACAAAGTGCCACACAAACCAGTCTTTGGTCACATCCAGTTCATCATCCCCATCTTACATATTCTTTGCCAAAAAAATCAAGACAGAAGACATATTTGTCTTGGACACTTAAATTCTATTTGTGATACTGGCACTGGAAGGCCCACAGCAATTTCAAGGATATTTTGTGATATTTTTGTGATGCCGCTGCAGTAAATCAAATGTGCTCTGTGATAGAGGAAAGGCTCTGAAAATAAAGCCTAAGGTAAATAGCAAACCTATTAAAAGGCATCATTCTGACATCCAGACCAAACACAGGACATGCTGTGCTTTGTCGAGGGCTACCTGGCAGGCACAGGTAGCAACAGCGCATCTATTTTGAGAAGGTCTACAAAACACTAAATTACAAGTGCACATAACCAGAATATGACCGTCTATGGCTCATGGAAGACTGCGGGTGAGCCTTTCAAAGCACAAGCACGTTTGTCTGTATTCTTAAGAGAGCAACTTCGACTTTAAGCACATTTAAATATGCCCCCCCTTCCCTCTGGGACACACTCTAGGAATGGCCTTTAAACTACTTTCAAAGGGCATGCTAACAGAGAAGCGTTTGACACTCCGTGAGTGTTAATTTTGGACCCTGGTTACATAAGTTCACAAGAATAAAAGCAACACCACCGCATTGCGCCGTAAAAGCTAGAAGCTGTCCACACTGGATGCGAAAAAGCGACCGTTGCAAATCTATTTGTTCTACGTATCTGAAGTAGTTCAAGCGCTTGGAGTAACATGTCCTGGGAAAATATAAATGTTCTAGCACAGCTTTGTTGTGTGTGTTTCTTGCAGCAATCACTACCTAACCAGCTCTTTGAGTTAATGAGAACAAAGTTAATCTAGTTGGTTTAACAGATGCAAGGGACATTAACCCAGACTGAGGTTCGTTAAGAGCAAAGCCATGACCCAGATTATCCTGTACTAAAGCTCATGGGACAAATCTCACCACTCATGACTTTACTCATGCCTCATCAACCCAAAGCTGACAGGCTTTGATCACCCGTATAATAGTGAATGAATGATGAGCGTATGTATGCAGTTATACTGTACACTAACTATCAGGAACCCACAGCAGACTCATCCATTAAAAAGTAAATGGTGTCCTCAGCGAAGACCCTAAGCTCTCGTGCACTTAATGCTTTATCTGTCCCGGACGCAGAAGAATTAATCCCGTTAGTAGCGAGAGGACAGCAGTGACGAAGAAGTGAGGATGGCCTCAGTTGGCTGGTGATCCTGATGCTGTGGATTGGATCACTTTACGGTCTCAGCATATGTGTTAGCATGGTTAATCATGATATTGTATTATATTCTAAAGATAATTAAAAGGGCGGTTAATTAAATTATCGAAAAATAAAAAATAACGCTTTTTAAAAAAAATGAACAATGTGAGTACCATCTATAACAACAGGAAACTCGACTCACCAAGCCTCGCTTACCGAGAACAAGGAGAAATAAGTGAGAAGTTGTTCACATGGGACATGTTTCTTGCATTCAAAAACAAAAAAGATTGATAGTAACGGATTAGAAAATAAAAGAAGATCTCTTGACATGATTTTCAAACTACATCAGGCCATCCTTAAAAATATTCTTGTTTGCCGTAACCCGACCGACCCTGTCAAATTAGGACCGACCCAATTATTTATTTATTTTCCCTTTTAGTCCGACCGACTTGCCGGTTGTAAACTTGCATTAAGACTGACCGATTTTTTTTTTTTACTCTTCAAACAACTAATACAAATGCAATAAAATAATATACATTTATTATAGTAAGTAGCCTATTGTGAATATAAATTGCGTAGGCTACGTTCTTTCTTTTAAATAAAAACCCGTGGCGTCATCTATTATGATTATGTTTACACCATTGGTTTACGCATGTCACACTATGGCCTGTGCGTTCGCTTCGTTTCATTCACTGTCAATGGTTCGCGCTCGGTGATGATGGCTGCGGCTCGGCTGCTTGTGAAATACGTCTGTATGAGCCTACATTTAGTCGCTCATTATTCGAAATTCTTAATGGTCAAATAGGGAATCGATGTTAACGGCCTTTTCTCGGAGCGCGTCCAGCTCGTCATGACATGCCCACCGCGAACGCGCGTCACACAGCAACTGCAGGCTCTGACAAACAAACACACATAAGTGTGGGAAGCCAAACACACCGAAAGGGGGACGAAACGGCGCGGTGTGTTACAGAGTTCGCGCTGCGCTGACTTGTAATCTGCGTGGCTCAATGGACCGAGACGCGCGAGCGCGACAGACTCGACAGCGCAGAGAGAAGTGTTTGCTTGCGCCAGCCAATGGTCAGAGCGGCGGGAACTAATCTCACCAGCGCCACGCTGACCAATAAAACAGCACATCCCATACCGAAATGTACTAAATTGCACAAAAGAAAATCGACCATTCCATAATATGTCAGGACAACTCATTCGGCCTATAGTTTCCTACAATGCGCCTAGCTATTTGACCACACTGATTTCCGTTAATAATAGCAGATGTTTATGGGTCAAATCTCTCACTCTCTCCCTGCAACTTTTTTTTACCCTCCTTTCCTGCCCCTAGACCAGAAAGGGGGCTTGTAACAGTATGGGTCAAATGTAAACGAATGGTGCCAAACGCGCTGTTTTATTGGTCGGCGCGGCGCTGGTGAGATTAGTCATTTTAATTTATTTGTTTCCCTCTGAAAATCCACTTTCATTGAAATCTAGTGGCTCCTTTTTTTTTCTTTTTTTTTTTGATACTGCCTATTTTTTTCCAAATGAATGCAGCTGGAATTAATGCAATAAATATGTGTTTTTTTACAAAGATTTCAAATTGTTTGTGGTCTATAACCTGTATCAGAATGAGGTTCGCAATGGTGCGCCCGAAGGCATGGGGGTTGAAGACCCAGTCAGTGACGTCACGATATGCAAATTTGTTTAAATTCATACCGACCTAATCACTATGACCAAAATGATCCTTTTTTTTTTTACATTGAATCTTGAAAAAAAAAATATAGACCTACCTACCGACCCTTTTTTTTTTTTTTTTGCTGTTACTGCAAACCAAAATATTTTTAAGGATGGCCTCAGCCTGCAATTGCACACAGTTTAAACAAAACACAAAACAAAACAAAAATGAAGTAACATACTGTTTCACAGAGGTCCAGTGTGACTGAATGTGATGGCTTAGCAGAATTGGACAGCTGTTCCTAACATGACTGTAGGTGGAGACCGTTTCAGGCGTGTTTAGTAAAGCATGCGGTCTGAAAAGATCATCTTCTCAGGTTAATTATAATAAACAAACTGCTGAGAATTAGACACACCACAGATGACTTGACTCGAGCACCCAAATTCTCATTCTCTTTTCATCAATTGTGTTAACAGATTGTGGACAATGAAAAAATGGCATCCCAAACATCACGCGATTACATTTTAACGGCTTGTTAGTGAGTCTGGATTCTGGAACACATTGATTTCATCATAGCCTTGCCCTTTACCCAGATGAACATACTGAGTTACACACTTCTGAGGGGTTGGAAATGATCAAAGGGAATGTGTCAGCTTGTACAACCCATTCGCTTAAGAGGAAATGACATGGGAAAAACTTTTCCTGCACTAAAAGCTGCTCCCTCAGGTACCTCTTGTTTTTTTCTGTGAAGGAACATCTGCTAACGCACACAACAACAAACACACCACATTAGCAGGACCTGGGAATGCAAACAGACTCTCTGCCCCCAGCACTGCAGATATCATATGAAATGTTTGTTGGTGTATTGACAATTGGGTGGCTAGTGTTGTTCAAAGTATAGTTTTTACAACTAACTAGTACTACTCTATAAGTTATACTGGATGGAAGAGCATTTAAGAAGATGAAAGATGAAGTAACCAACCTCTGTGTGGCTCAGGTTTTAACAGGCTCCGAGCTGCTGTCCGAGCCGCTCTTGTCCTCCAGATGCTGCAGGTTATCAGTGGGGGTGACGCCTGGGCAAGAGAAAACAGCAGGTAAGATGCTGCCATCACAAATCAGTGAACAGTAAACTCATAATATATACATAATAATAATGGTAAGGAACCAGGGTGAGGGATTTTTTGTGTGACATATACACCTTAAATAAAGCTTTTATACAAATAGGAATTCTAAGGAATGAGGACTAGGAGTTTTGTAAGAAATTGTGTAGAAACCAAACTATATATAATAAAAAGTAAATAAAATTACACTAGAAGTTAGAACAATTTCTATAGCATGGTGGAAAATAAGTAAATTAGTTAGTTACATTTTCAGAATTTTGACAAACATTACAATTGACAGTGTCTTCATTCTAACCTTGTTACCCAAATTAATATTATTTAAAATATTATATTATTTTATTTCATATTAGTAATATACAATATTAATTAACATTAAATAATATGTATAAATTATATACCTACATTTTTTTAAATCAAATCATAAAATATATATGTGTTATTAAATAATAATTTACAAGTACATTACTTTTTAATTTATTAGATTAAGGGCCCTATCATACACCCGGCGCAACACAAGTGTTTTTTGCTAGTTTCAGCCTGACGCAGTTATCATTTTCAACTGGAAACTGAAATCGACTGCGCGACTGACCAACTGAAATCTGTTCTAAAGTCAATGGCGCAATATTTTTTTTCTTATTCAAAGAGTGCGTTAGTAATAGGCGCCTATAGGCGGATCCACAACGCGTGTACACTTTGTTTTTTAGCGAGGAAACGGATACGCTCGTGTCGTGACTCGTGTGTGAGTTTAGAGAAGCGTTCAGTTTTTCCGCTTGCAAATTCTCTGTCATGGCGCCAGCGCAACTGGCTTTTAAAGGGAATGGGAGATGAGACTCTGATTGGTTTATTGCACATTACACCCAAAACACACCCATTACTCGTTAAGAGAATATGGAAACACCTTAAGACCATGCGCAGGGTGCGCTGACCATTTTTCCCGTCGTTAAACTAGCAAAAGTGGATTCGGACACGCCCTAGGGGACTTGCGCCATGCGCTTTAGACCATGCACTAAGATCGTTAAAATAGGGCCCTAAATATTCTTTATTTTTAAAATAGAGACATAGTTAATCAATTATTGCAAAATTTCCTCCCAAATTCAATGGCAGCACATTTTATGTTAAATTTGCAACACATTACTTATTCTTGTGTAGTTTTTTTTTATATATACATCTCTTCATTTTAAAACTGTACAAATCAAGTGTCACATGTCCCTATTCGATTATTTTCAGTGTTGCAAAATTGGAAAATCACATCCAAGATTAGCAGGAAAAACGTCTCGGTTACGGATGTAACCCTCGTTCCCTGAGTAGGGAACGGAGACGTTACGTCGGATGACGGAGAATGGGGGTTTCGCCAGAAAGCCTATCACCTTCGAGTATTAAAAAACGAGCCTATGGCAATGAAATGCCATGGGTCTGCGGAATTTGCATAATGTATCTCCGCCTCACCGCGTGAGTATTTAAGGAGAGACACCTGCAACAGCAGATCATGTCTTCGCTGAGGAGCCGAGACTGAACTCAGGCGTCGACCCAGCGGTACAGCGGAAGTGGCACGGAGACGTAACGTCTCCGTTCCCTACTCAGGGAACGAGGGTTACATCCGTAACCGAGACGTTCCCTTTCGTAGTCACTCCGAGTTACGTCGGATGACGGAGAATGGGGGTCCCCGTGTAATCACGCCACCTTCACAGCTGTCTTCCAGTGCCCTGCGAAGTCTGACCTCCCTGTCGTGATATAGGCACGGACGAAGGAGTCCTACTTAACACAGGAATACCAAGGTACACTGGGAAGCATATCTCAGGGGAGATATGCCGCAGCATGCCTACCCGTAGGGAGGACTTAAGAATACACATATGGCCCGAGGGGGCTTCATAGAGGAACACTGGAGTGACCAGCCCGTAGGGTGGCATCTACTTTCAACTCCAGGAGTGGCAAGGTGGCTTGCCGAGGGAAAGACACATGCTCAAGGAGGCTTACAGTGGAAATACACATGTGGGGGTTGCTCGGAGGAGGAACCATGCACACGGAGGCACCTAGCCGACGCACAGGCAATAGACACTGGTGCCAGCGCCAACAGTGCTGGAGGAACTCAGGGCTTCAGAGAGGAAGGCTACCTGAGGAAATAACGCACGTATCCAGTCCGTGGAGTGGAGTGGCGAGCAAGCGAAGACACCTAACGGTTCCCGTGTTAGCTTGAAAAAGACAGTACACGGGAGGAGACTGGCTCCACTCGGAGATTGTAAAATCTGGCGAATGTGTTAGGTGTCGCCCAGCCTGCAGCTCTGCAGATGTCTGTCAGCGAGGCGCCACGCGCTAAAGCCCAAGAGGACGCCACACTCCGGGTGGAGTGGGCGGTCACACCAAGGGGGCATGGTCGACCTTGCTGCTGGTATGCCAAAGCAATGGTGTCCACTATCCAGTGAGACAACCTTTGTTTGGAGAGAGCCTTTCCCTTCAGCTTCCCACCATAACAGACAAAGAGCTGGTCTGAGGTCCTGAAACACTGCGTCCTGTCTACGTAAGCACGGAGTGCGTGTACTGGACAGAGCAGTGCCAAGGCTGGGTCTGCCTCCTCCCGGGGCAGCGCTTGCAGGTTCACCACCTGGTCCCGGAAGGGAGTGGTGGGAACCTTGGGCACATATCCAGGCCGGGGTCTCAGGATCACGTGAGAGTGACCAGGCCCGAACTCCAGGCACGCTTCGTCAACGGAGAATGCGTGCAGGTCCCCTACCCTCTTGATGGAGGCCAACGCAACCAGGAGCGCTGTCTTCATTGACAGGATCTTAAGCTCAGCTGATTGCAGAGGCTCAAAGGGAGCCGTCTGCAGGGCACTTAAGACCACTGAGAGGTCCCAAGAGGGAACGAGAGGAGGGCGAGGAGGATTCGGTCTCCTCGCTCCTCTCAGGAACCTGATGATCAGGTCGTGTTTTCCAAGAGACTTACCTTCAACTGCTTCGTGATATGCGGCGATAGCGGCCACATACACCTTCAGGGTGGAGGGAGACAATCTTCGCTCCAACCCATCTTGCAGGAAGGAAAGCACAACACTGATCGAGCATCTCCTGGGGTCTTCTCTGCGAGAAGAGCACCAGTTAGCGAAGAGGTTCCACTTCAACGCATTGACATGTCTCGTGGACGATGCTCTAGCAGAAGTGATGGTAGCCGCCACCGCTGGTGGCAGGGTACTCAAACCTGCCTCGTCCCGTCCAGGAGCCACACGTGGAGTCTCCAAAGATCGGGACGAGGGTGCCATAGGGTGCCCCGTCTCTGAGAAAGGAGGTCCTTCCTCAGAGGAATTGGCCAAGGAGGTGCTGTCGCGAGGAGTATCAGTTCGGAGAACCAGGTCTTGGTGGGCCAGTGTGGGGCGACCAATATGACCTGCTCCTCGTCCTCCTTGATCTTGCACAGAGTCCGTGCGAGAAGGCTCACTGGGGAAAACGCATATTTGCGTAGGCCCTGCGGCCAGCTGTGCGCCAGTGCATCCGTGCCGAGCGTGCCCTCGGACAGGGAGTAATACAGGGCGCAATGGGATGAGTCATGGGAGGCAAACCGATATATCTGTGCGTCCCCGAACTGGTCCCATATCAGCTGGCCGACTGGGGATGGAGTCGCCATTCGCCAGAGGTTGGCCGGAGCCGTGACAGCTCGTCGGCTGCAAGGTTCCGCTCTCCTGGAATGTAAATAGCACGAAGGGACCTCAGGTGCTTCTGACTCCATAAGAGGAGGTGGCGTGCGAGTTGCGACATACGGCGAGAGCGTAGACCACCCTGATGGTTGATGTACGCTACTGTCGCGGTATTGTCCGAACGGACAAGTGCGTGTTGACCCTGGAGCAGCGCATGGAAGCGGTGCAGGGCAAGGCGTACTGCCAGCAACTCGAGGCAATTGACATGCATGAGGCGCTGGGGTCCTGTCAAGGAGCCCGCGGCTGCATGTCCATTGCACATGGCGCCCCAGCCCGTGGCAGAGGCATCTGTGGAGACAACAACATGCCTGGAAACTCGTTCTAGGGGAACTCCAGCCCGTAGAAAGCTGAGGTTCCGCCACGGGGTGAAGGACTGACAGCAGGTCGGAGTTATTGGAACTCTGAGCGTACCGCGATGCCACGCCCACCTCGGGACCCGATCGCGAAGCCACAGCTGAAGCGGTCTCATATGAAGCAATCCGAGTGGCGTTGCCGCGGCTGCTGATGCCATATGCCCCAGGAGCCTCTGAAAAATTTTCAGTGGGACCGCACTCTTGCCCTCGAACTGTCGAAGACAAGTCAGCAGTGAGTGTGCGCGCTCGCTCGTAAGCTGCGCGGACATGGCGACCGAGTCTATCTCCATACCGAGAAAAGAGATCCTCTGCACGGGGCAAAGTTTGCTCTTCTCCCAGTTGACCCGAAGGCCCAGACGGGCTAGGTGCCGGAGCACTAGGTCTCTGTGTTCGCAAACCTGGACTCGAGAGTGAGCTAATATTAGCCAGTCGTCGAGGTAATTCAGGATGCGAACCCCGTGTTCGCGCAGGGGAACAAGGGCTGCCTCGACGACCTTCGTAAAGACGCGAGGAGACAGAGCCAACCCGAATGGGAGAACTGCGTACTGGTATGCCTGCCCCTCGAAAGCAAACCGAAGAAACGGTCTGTGTCGAGGTAAAATGGAGACATGAAAGTAGGCGTCCTTCAGGTCTATCGCTGCAAACCAATCCTGTGGCCGCACGCATTCGAAAATGCGTTTGGTCGTGACCATCCTGAACGGCAGCCTGAGAAGGGAGCGGCTCAAGACGCGCAGATCCAGGATTGGCCGTAACCCACCGGTCTTCTTGGGGACAATGAAGTACGGGCTGTAAAACCCTGACCTCATTTCGGCTGGAGGGACAGTCTCGATTGCACCCTTCGCCAGCAGGGTGGCAACCTCCGCTCTCATGATCGGGGCATTGCCAGCGACCAAAGTAACGGACTCCCCTGAAGCGGG